GTGTTTATATTTGATGACCGCACAGATAGAAGTGTAATAAAAGTGTAACATTTGCTAATTGCTTAATTAGATGTAGGCAAATTGCAACCATTTAAATAATCAAATTAGTGAGCAATAATCTGATTTTTATGGTGTAATGACATCATACCTACACAAACCACATCATTCCTTCATCCATCCCTGTTCAACACACTGAGATGAAATATGTGGTATAACTGTATGGAGCAGATTAACCACTCAGTTCTGCTGAATAGTCATAACATTTTTTATTATATTTTGTATTTTGACACACTCTGATCTTCTATTGTGAGATGGCTTCCCAGCATAAGAAGCACAGGGCTAGGAATGACTATAAAGGGATGGTCCGTCTGCTTTGCTACCCAGGGGGTCTGGCCTTCTGAAGCAGGGAACAGACCAGCACCACAGCAGAGGTAAGAGCATGATCTCTACCAGAAAGTACCAGAAGGTACCTGTGAATACAGGAAGTCATATTTAGAGGGAACAGCTTGTTAGGATTAACTTTGATGTTACAGACTCAGGAGTGTCCACTGCAGCGAAGGGGAAACAGACATGCTGATGGGGTTTACATGTGAAAAACGTGTTTCATAAAAATGTAATGGGTTGATAGTAGATTGGGTTTTTTTTAGTTTTTTTTTTTTATTTCCCTTTCTGTAAAACTGTAGCCTTCCAGTTGGGCCCCCGTGGTCCCTGAGACATCCACACCCTCCAACCTGTTATAACCTGTAACTGCAGGCTGTAAAGCTTTGACTTTGGCATCTGTGTCTTTTCAGATATTAATCTTATGCTATACAATTTTAAAATGCTCGATATAACATTTTTTTTCTTTCTATCAGTTAAAAAAAGTTGCAGTATGGTGGGTCCCTGTCATGATTTTATCTAAAGATCTGACCCACATGCAGAAAACCAAACAGAGAGACCAGGGGAAGGTTTAACAGGTTTTATTGTGAGAAGGTAGAGAGGAGTCCAGTGCGGCTCTGAACACTGGCGAACCGGGAGTTTCCACAAAAAGGTGTCTTCTGTTGAATCCAGTCGGTGTGGGTTGTTCCAGTAATAGACTTGTTCGTTGGAGGGCGGACAGGGTTTACCCAGGTTGAGGAGTTACCTTGAGGAACGGAGGAGCTGACTGCCACTTAGATTTCCTGCAGTACTTGAACGGTTTCTTGTGGAGATGAATCCACTGCTCAGTGAGAAGCCCAAACAATCCTTGGGGAAAAGTTGATCCAAACCACCAGTTTAAATCCTCAGCTCAGTTTTATGCTCAGAGAATCCTTCCAGGGGGGAGAAGGTCCAAAACATCCAGTTTGCAGGATGACTTCCTGCCGAGAGGCAAAGACAAAAAAGTTTAAGACTCAGGTTGACAAAAACTCAGTTTGACTCAGCAACACTCAGCTTGGCTAGAGAACCCAAAACTGGCAAACCTCTCAATTTGTGCCAAAAGCCAAAGAAAAAAGATGAGTCTGTATTCCAGCGACTCTCTCAGAGCTTGAAACTCCTTATGCAGGACTTCTACCAGGGCGAGGCGGGCGTCCAAGCTGGTTAGCTTTTTGTCAATGGATTCCAGGATGTCGCCGTAGCTCCTGTCTGGAGACAAAGTAGAAGCAGCACTGGTTGAACTAGACCGACATAGTTTGGTAGAAGGTGTGTTTGTGGATGTGGGATTCCTGGGCTTCCACATTACCATGTTATCAAACACTCATGCAGGTAGCTCTCCAGGCTCGTCAAGGTCTCGTCTTCCAGTTCGTTCCCTTGGAAATACGGGACAATTGTTAAAGTTTAAACCTACTTT